AGGCAAAAAATCGAGCTTTCGCGAGAGAGTGCCCCATTGTCTTTTCCATTGGAGATCATTGATTCTTTGTGTAGTTCAGATGAAGATGGCTCGTTGGAGGATCAAAGCAGGTCCTCTGAAGTTTCCACATCAGAGCAAAGTACATCGTCTTACTCGATGAACTATTCTTTCTTGAGTAAGAAAGAAAAAAGGTCTTCCGATAGTAATAACAGTAAGCTTGCTAAGGATCGTGTGATCAAGTCTGAATTCTTACTTTCTCCAGTTAAGGACAGTCAGAAGTCATTATCGTCTAAATTATCTTTGCCCCATTCGCCTGCTTGGTCAGAGAACGATGGATCGAAAACAAACAGTCCAAAGGCCACTTTTAATCTGTCCCCAGAAAAGTTTGACCGGCCTGTTAAATCGAGATCTCACAGAAGAAGCCCGTTGAGTAGAGAAACAAGTGGGGATGTCGGCTTGAGTTGCAGCGAACCAATTTGCAAGCGCCGCTTGAAAGATTTTGCAGACAACCTTAACTCGGTCCCTCCATCCTCGCCAGCTCACCTTCATGGTCTTCTGAAATCGGAAGACAAAAACGGCCTCACATTTTTCGAATTTTCGGTGAATTCGCCGGAGGAAGTTTCTTACATCGCGAAGACGTGGAAAGTCGACAATGCCCTTATGTGGGTCTACACTTTTCACTCACTTCACCATAAAAGAAAGAGCAATGCAAGTGGTGGTGGATGGGGATTTAAGGACATTAACCGAGAATCCACTATGGTTGGCCAGATGGTAGTATCATGCTATCTACGTACAGAGTTAAAGGCTGCCCGAACTTATACCGATTCCATGGTGCAAGAATATGTTTTATACGATGTAGCGCAAGCAAGAAGAAGTACTTCATCTTCCCCTGATGTTACAAAATCACCCATAGTCCCCGATCATGGGTGTAATGAAATATCTGCCAAGAAATTGGTTAAAGAACAGATTTTTAAGCACTCTCGGCCTCTAATGGCGGCAGAATTGCATCCAGAGTTGGAAATAGCAGCTGTCGTCATGCGGGCCCCATTCGAGAAGAGAGAGAGTCTCAAGTTCAAGAGCGGGGATGGAGAAATGGATCGTCCGCTTCCAAGCCTGCTGGATCTTTGTCGACTTGAGGAGGCAAGGGAGGGTATTTCAGGCAATTCACGTCCTGGGGAGATGCATGTGGTGGTCCCGGCTGGGAACCACAGTCTGCCGAGTGGCGAGAACTGTAGGCCTTCGTCTCTGTTGGACAGGTGGAGATTGGGTGGAGGGTGTGACTGTGGTGGGTGGGATATGGCGTGCCCTCTCGACGTTTTTGTTAATCCGAATTTTACAATTTGTGATGAACAACCGCTGGTGGATAGTCGGCATCTCGTGGAGCTCTTTGTTCAGGTAAATTCTGTTATAATGCAAAATTATTACATATGATTTGTGATCATCGTTGTTTGTGATTAAACCATTTAATTGCGACCCTTTTTGGGTGATTGATTTTTTGAATTTGTGAAGTAAACTTATTGTGCTTCTAATACCACCAGTTTACCTCTGAACTTTTATTGTGAAAACGTCGCATCGTGATAGAAGTGATACTGAAATTCATTTTGAACTACAGTCTACATTAATCACTTTACATAATCATATAGTATTATATTCATAAGTGATCATTTCTTTTCCCTTCACTCCTGTAGCTTCAGTTTCTTGGGTGAAGAGTTTTCTTATGAAAATGAAGCAAATTTTGTGAGTTCAACTGGCTTCCTGGAGAGATCATATTTTATGAAAGTTTTCCCGGTACAAATTTTGTGAGTTTTCATATTTTGTGAGTTCATATTTGGAGTAGTTGAATATGACTGGTGACTGATATCGTTATAATGTGTGTATGAATGTTTTCCGACGGTGGTTGATGGTTAATAGCTTAACTTGGGTGAACGTGTTTCGTCAAAAGAAAAGAAGCGCATACACATTGTCACAATCTGAAACTTTTGTACCTCGCCACATTTCGTGCAGGGAAGAAAAAATAACAATGTACCGGCATTTACAATGAGGGCAGTGGAGAATGGGAAGTACGCCATTGACTTTCATGCGCAGCTGTCTTCTCTGCAAGCATTCTCCATATGCGTAGCTATTTTGCATGCTGCAAACACGTCCACCGCAATTGAGCACGAGACGAGCAAAAGAATGCTGAAAAGCGACTCGCTTAAGGTATTTGCAGAGGAGGAAATCAAGAACTTGATGGATTCAATTTCAGAAGAGGAGAATTTTAAGGCCAACAACAAACAAGACGAAGTCTTGACATCATTCGTGTTGAACCCACCCTTCTCACCAATTGCTCGAGTATAAATTAGATATAGATTTTCTTTGGAAAAGAAAAAAAAGGGGGCAAGCAAAGGGTACCCTGGACAAAGCTTTGCCTGGTATATTAATTTTTTTGCCATAATTTCTAATCAAATACTATACTGTTCATATTCTTAGACTGATAGGGATTAAGAGAGGGATATAGAGGCGCCATTGGTGATGTAGCTGTTGTTATATAAGGCCTTTTTTTTATCATTTTTTTTTTTTTT